AGCCCCGGAGCGCCCCCCGCCAGCAGGTGAGCGTGTCGCTCCCGCCCGTACTCACGATGTAGGTGCACTTGGGCTGGAAGGCGAAGGTGCCGCACACGTACATGTGGGAGCTGTTGTAGCTCTGAAGGAAGCGGATGTAGTTGAAACAGTCGGTCTGGGGAGCAAGGGGCTGGTTAGCGGGGATACCGGTCTCCCCACCCTGTTCCCGCCAGCTGTGCCAGGGCAGGGACGTGCTGGCCTCCCGCCCGTACTCACGATGTAGGTGCACTTGGGCTGGAAGGCGAAGGTGCCGCACACGTACATGTGGGAGCTGTTGTAGCTCTGAAGGAAGCGGATGTAGTTGAAACAGTCGGTCTGGGGAGCAAGGGGCTGGTTAGCGGGGATACCGGTCTCCCCACCCTGTTCCCGCCAGCTGTGCCAGGGCAGGGACGTGCTGGCCTGGGCCCAGGGTGGCAGGCCGCAGGGCACAGCTGGGAGCGGGCAGGGACGCTGGCGCCCTTGTGCCCAGCTGGCTTACCTGGTTGTTCTTGCCCTTCTGGATACATTCCACCTTCTTCTCTGGCGGTGCCTCCCAGGAGATCTGTCAAGGCAGGGGGGTCGGGGTGAGCCAGGAGCAGCCTGGCCCATCCCAGCTCCTGCAGCTAGGCCAGGCAGACCCATAGCTCCATCCCGCCAGACGCGGGCACAGGGGCCACGCCAATGGGACTGCCCCCTTACCGCTGCCTTGAGCTCCATGGTGCCCGTGGCGAGGGCGAAGACAGCCTCACGGGCACCCACGTACAGAACCTTCTCGGCCTCCCCCAGCGTCAGCGTCATGTAGTGGGACACGCCAGCCTTGGAGAAGCGCTTGGCCACGTCCTTCAGCTCTGTGGGGCAGTGAAAGGCCTCAGGGAATCGGGGCCTGCAGACTCCAGCCCAGGCCTGGCCCTGCCAAACCGACCCCACCCACCTGCTCCTGGCAGCCCAGAAGCAGGTTCCCAGGCCCCACCAGCCAGGGCACAGGGCAGGCACGGGGCTCCCACCCTGCCCCAGCCATCAAGCACGTCTGTGCCCCGGGGCAAGTGGGTCACGGGTGTTGCAGTGTCCTGCTGGCTGCCCAGCCCTGGGCCAATGGACTGGAGGGCACAGTGGGTCCCAGCTGACATGGGGCAGAGGCTGAGGGATGCTCAGAGCTAGCAAGGGACAAGGCTGCATCTGGGGTGGCACTAGGGCAG